AGCGGCCCGGGGCCGACCCCGGAAGCGGAGCTCACCTGCGCCGCCGTCACGTGACCGGAGGCTGGCCCGCAGGCGCGCGAGCGGGGCGGGGTGGGGCGGGGCGAGGCTGGCTCCGCCCCCCGGCGGCCGCTTGCCCCAGCGTCGTAGAGGTGGGTGGGCTCACCTGGTTCGGGGGCGGAAGAGCTGAAACCTGGTAGCCTGACGGCGGCGAGCAGCCTGCGAGGCTCTGACCCTTCAATGAGGCGATCGGGGTGTGGCCTGGCCGATCTGATTCATTCCCAGGTCGGGGGTTTCCTTTGCTGTGAAGTCGTCGCCTTCCGGTTTTGTCCAGTTTCTAATGAGTAACCTCCCTCAGTCTAACTCAAGCAAGGGTTGAAGAGGGGCGGGCATTGGAAATCCAAATTCTTACCCGTGGCCCCAAGCGTCTTTAAATTCATTCGTTCATTCAGCAAGTACTTATTGAGCACTTGCTTGTACCTTGTACTGTTTCTAGGGGCAGATTCTCCTCCTTTGATTGAAGAGAGAAATAAGCAGTTCCTGCCCTAAAGAAGTTCAGAGACTAAAGGCACTGGCTGGCAAAAGGAAGAAGTTGCAATATGCGGGATACGTGCTATACTAGAGCTGTGTGTGAGGCAATGCTAAGGACACAGAGAACAGAAGTGCGGCTGGTCAGGGAAGACTTTGAAGAGGATGGAGATTGTGCCCGGTATGGCTGGGTGGGTGGAGTTCAGGGTGAGGGGTTAAAAGGCTTTCTAGGAAGAGAGAACAGTGTGCAAAGACATGGAGGCAAGGACGCATTGGTCTGTTTCTGGGAGGTGTAAGAAAGCAGGGCAGGAAGTTGAGAACCAGTGGTAAGAAGCAAGACTTAAGGTTAGAGAGTGTACACACTGGAGATCCCTTAAGTGGTTTTAATTTATTGAGTGTGCTTTTAGAAGGACCACTCAGGCATCATCTGGAGGGTGACAAGTATTGCAAAAGTTCAGTCACAGATGAACTAAAGTAGTGCTGTTGTGTTGGAAAGAAGGGGATGGCATCTAAAGATACAGTTTGATGTTAATTTGGAAAATTCATAATGGATGTGGGGTTTGAGGGAAAAGAGAAGCATCAGGAATGAGTCCCAAGCTTCTGGATAAGGTGAGGAGAGATGGTGGTGACATTAAAAGGAACAGTTTTGGGGGAAAGATAAGTTCATTTCGGAACATGTATGAGGCACCTGAGGGCAATTGGACATAGGAGCCCAGAGCTCAGCAGAATGGTCTGGTCTGGGAATACAGATTTAAGGATCATTGCGGAATCTGTGGGCATAGATGACAACTCCCAGAAGAGCAAGGAGAGGACCCATGGGCTGAACTCTGGGATAGAGAAGCATTTAAGAGGCTGGGGAAGGAAGACCTGAGAGTGGCCACAGAAATACAAGGAGCCAGGAGAACAATGTCACAGAGGCCAAGGAGAGTCAAGTTTCAAGAAGGAAGGAGTAAAGAGCAGTGTCATATGTCATGGAGAGGTGAAGCAAGACAAAGACCAAGAAATGCCCATTGTATTTGGTAATCAGTGCCCTTTGGGAAAGCAGTTTGAGCAGAACAAGAGCCAGATCAAGGTGGGCTCAGGAATGAATGGGAGGTGAGGAAGTGGGGATGGGAAGCTTGGAACTGTTTCAGGAAACTTAACTGTAAGAAAACAAGATAGTGGAGTTGTTTATAAAGAAACACACAGTAAAGGAGGGACTGTTATAGAAAGGAGACATTTCAAGGAGAAGAGATCATTGATGTTAACAAAGAAGATGCAAATTGATGAACTCTGCATCATTTTTAGTTATTTTATATATTGAGGTCTATATAAGTATGTCAAGAATTAAGTATCTAGGGCTGGCCTGTGGCTCACTCGGGAGAGTGTGGTGCTGATAACACCAAGGCCACGGGTTCAGATCCCATATAGTGATGGCCGGTTTGCTCACTGGGTGAGCGTGGTGCTGACAACACCAAGTCAAGGGTTAAGATCCCCTTACTGGTCATCTTTAAAAAAAAAAAAAGAATTAAGTATCTAGAAGGAACTTACTTTAGCCCAGAGTAAGGAGATTGATAACTTGTCAGAAGAGAGAAGGAAAGGATACTACAGATATGGCTACTGTATAGATATGGGGGAATGAATAATTTCATGCTGAGTCACCTTAGTTTTCCCTTTTTTCTATGGTTTTTGGTGGCTGGCCATTACAGGGATCGAACCCTGGACCTTAGTGTTATCAGCACCATGCGCTAACCAACCAAGTTCAATGGCCAGCCCAATTTTTCCTTTGAAGCAGAAGACAAAGTTGTTGCATGGGAGAGGATGGTAGGACGGGATCTTAAGGAGTGAGGGTTTAGACCAGTTTCTCTGGTGGATAGGACAGGAAACTAAGCAGGGATACATAGAAGGATCTGTATGTGGGATCCGAACCCTCGGGCGGGAGCGCCGCCGCGCTTCCCAAGCGGTGCACTATCCAGTGCGCCACTGGGCCGGCCCGGCTCTTCATTTTTAATTGCCCAAATTTTCTGGTTGTGCGGTTTTCTCCATCTCAGAAGCTTTGAAGTATGAGCAGAGAAGATAGGTGGGGCATACTCTAAAGTGAGAGTTGGAAAGATGATTGTTGTAGGTGATCTTGGGACAAGAGAATTGATTTGAGCTGTTGGTAAGGGAGGGTGGTGACACATTGGAGAGGGAACAAATTGATGCTGGGACTGAAGTGATGGTGTGGGTGAAAAATGAAGAGAACAGGATACCATTCTTTGATATCCACCAATAGTGGAATGGTTGAATGAATTAAAGGATAAATATGTGAAAATTTATATATATCTTAATGAGGTCAATCAAATCGATGTATATTGACATAAAAAGATCTCCAGGATATATTGTCAAATGGGGGGGGGAACCTGTATGTAAATATATAGAAAAACACCTGGAAGGATATATACCACACTGTCAAATGCCATTACATGCAAGGACGGGAATGAGATTGGGGAGGGATAAAGAAGATTTACGACAACGTAGATTCATCATTGAATTTATTTTATTTTAAAGGTATCTATGTACACCAAGTAAACACACACTGGGGTTTGTGCAGTTTGGTTTGTCTTCCACTCTGGCATGCAACGTTTTGGCGGATGTGAGTGGGCATGCCAGGTGCCCATTGTGATGACACTGGCTCTCTGAAAGGGATACAGTGAAGGTGGGGAGCAGGAGGAGGAGGATGTAGTGGTGTGAAGCTTCTGGCGAAGGGTTTGTGTGTGTGTTGTTTCTTATGTATGTAAGTGAATTATATTTCCCTTACATCTTGCTAAAGAGAAGGTTTTTCCCTCTGTGTCACCTCTCTCCCCATCTGCCCTACACTGTCACATTTTCTTATGTGTTTTTTAAAAGAATCATTTGGTGGCAAGACTACATAAAACCACCTGGTGACCTACTGGCAAATATTACCCTAAGTCCATAGGTGTGCAGGTGTCTTCTTTCCTCTCTGACTTGGTCTGGAGACAGTGTGACTCATCCACCCAACCCTCTCCCTCTTTTCTATGAACTGTGGATTTGGTGCAGAGGAGCTGGATTGGACCCCCTTCCTCAGAGCAGTGGTTTTCAAACTCTTCTATAGAACCCTCATGGTTTCTTAGGACTTTCAAGAATTCTTCAACTTATGAAGCATTTTCCACCAAAAAAAGAAAATGTGAAAAATAAAAGAAAAGAAAATAAATCCCTGTACTGGCCAGCTGCCAAAACAAAGAAAATGCAAACTTCCCAAGTCTGCATTACTTTAAGTCATTTTTTATATTGGGGTTCTATGTAAAATTTGTTTTGAAAAATGTTAAAAAAAAAACACCACTTTGGATTTATTCCCCGCCCCTCTGGTATTTTTCTCCCTGCATTTCTCTTTAACTACTAAAAGGGGCCCATCAGGTCAGGCAGCAGGGACTCTTTCCCTTTAAGGACTCACAGGCCAACACAGCCTGTATTTACCAGCTGGCACTCACACCAAGCTTTCTTTCCTGACTTAGAAGCAGTTAGGTGATGGATTTCCCTGCTGCTGGAGGGTCTTGGCCTTCCATCCTAGATAAGACTAGACTTTTCTTTCTTGGATTGGACTGGCTAGTGACCTCCATCCCTGCAGTTACCTGGAAAACCACCTTAGCACCATGTGGAAGGAAAGGACCATCTGAAACTAAAACAATAGTCCTTTATAAGAGGAAAGGGCATATGGGCTGAGAATGGCAGGGGAAAGAGCCCTGGGGGTCAAGCCCTTGGGCTGCCCCACCTCTGGAAAATCTACGCTGCCCCTTTCTTTAAAGTGCATTTAATACCAGTTGGGGGCATTATAGAATGAACTCTTTGTGGAGAATGTACATATTGTGGAAAAGTCAGGTTCCAACTTGAGAGGAAGGCATCTAGAGAAAGATTTTGCAGATGAATTGGAAGACCCCAAACCAAAAGGTGAAGATGGAAGAATATACAGCCCAATATGGGACAGAAAGGAATCCAGCCCATTGCTTCAACCTGAGGGTACTGTGGCAAAAAATACTGAAGAATTTCCCTGCCTGTTCACCCCCCAAGCCCAAGGAATCAATCATTTTGACCACACTTGCCTGTAACTATCACCATGGACCGATGAGCAACCACTGATTAGACGGATTGTTGGTAGGGGTCTGCCTCCCTAACTTTCAAAATATTTTTAATAAACTCTGGGTTTTGGTTGTGAGCTCTGGAGTAGAGAATATCAAAAGGACCTTTGAAGAGAAAGGGAAATAGTCCCCAGAACAACCATGTTCTCTTCCAGGGGAAAACAGAAAGAGGGAGGCAAAAGGCAGACTTTGTAGGGCAGAGGTAAACCTTGGAATCCCTTGATTCAGGTGATGGGTGTGTGAAGAAAATTATATGTATAATTTAGCAGCCCTTCCATTTTACCCTCCCCTGTGCTATATGTGAAAGAGGAGTGGGGAAGAGTCTATTTCTTTGTCTTCTTAGGATGCCAAGACATTCTTCTGCTTAAGGCTTTGTGTGTTTGTGTGTGTGTGTGTGTGTGTGTGTGTATGTATCACAGCCCTCTAACTGCCGTTCTTCCTTTTTATCATCTCTGTGACCTCTACTCAGTGACTAACACCACTCAGTGTGAGACAAATAGGAGAGAAAGAAGAAACATTCACCCTCCTCCCTATTGCCCCAAATGAGGAGGGTAGACTATGCTTAGAAATTGCTAAATACATCATTAGATACTTAGAGAGTAAGACAGAGAAAGAGGAGAGACATAGCAGCAGCTTTTGATATATAGATACAGAGTACAAAGAGATACAGAGTAAGTAAGAGTAGACATCAAACATAGTACAGTCGAACAACAGGGGTTGGGGAGGGAGTTAGTATCAGAGACCACAGGTTTGCAGCATGCTGAGAGAAGAGGCCTCAGTCCCTCTTAGAAACTGGGAAAGAAAGAGAAAGAGGATGTGAGGAACCAGCTTGTAACTCCGCCACTGAACAGGAACAGGTGGCATTTGCACACACTTTGGTTTGCAGTCCCATTCCTTTAATATCAATAACCAGACACCCAACCCCCCCAACCACTCCCCTGCCCCCCTGCTTCTCCACCCCTAGACCTTCCCTAACATCTCCTTCCCTGTTCTTACTTCTTTGCTTCTCATGCCTTTCTGCCTGTGTGTGCCTGGCTTACTACCCTGGAAAACCCCTGGAGAGGGCTCGGCTTGGATGCAGCCCAGTAAGAGACTGGTATGTTCTCTCGTTTCTAGTTCTCCAAGGATCTAGAGTGGACAAGGGGTCTGGCCGGTTAGCTTAGTTGGTTAGAGAGCAGTGTTACAACACCAAGGTCAAGGGTTCGGATCCCTGTACCAGCCAGCCAACAAAACAAAAACAAAAACAAAAAAGTGGACAATAAAACAGGATCTCAGTGCCCAGTTCTGGGCCCTAAAGCAACCTTGGTGAGAAGCCAGGTGACATACAAGAACCAGGAAGGTACCTAGGCCATGAGAGAAAACGACATCGGGACAGAGGCAGAAAAGGGATCTTGGAGGTGGGGAGACAGATGTTTTCCACTTCCACTGAGCAAGATGGGAGGGGAGTGCTGACACTGCAGCTAGGAGAAGTTAGACTTCATGGGGCATTTCCTAAAGCTTCTTGGTGGCATATACAGATATGAGAAGGATAGGACACAGGTGCAGGAGGAAATCAAACATTGCCTTTCCTGAAGATGTCATAGCTCAGAAAATACCTATCCATCCAAAATTAGTTTAGGGTGGAGGTGGAGGGATGGTTTAGATAACCCCTCAAGGTCTCCTAGTATCTACGGTCTATGACTTGTGTGACTCTAGATCTACAGCAGCTGCCCTAGCTCATTTCTTTTGATGTGTGGCAATGACCCCTAGTGGCAGAAAGGCAGTACTATGGTCACCACTATAGCCAAAGGGAAAGCATAAGGGGAGAGGGGAGGTCAGTGTCCAGATCACATGGGCGGCACAGAAGTAGCCTCCAGAAGGGAAAAGCAGGAGTTGAGGGGTAACTATATAGTAAAAGTTTTGAGATGGCAAAAAAACAAACAAAAGAAGGAAGAGAACCAAAGAGGCTGTGGGCAAGAAGGGAGGCAACCTGGCGCTGGTCACAGGAAGCGGCCTGAAGCTACCTGAAAGTGCAGGTATGGAGCAGTCGGTGTGGGAGATTAGCTGGCTGCTGTCTCTTGGTGAAGAGGGAAAAGCTTGGCCTGGTCCTCAGCCTCATAGCCACATGGCAGGTCGCTCCTGGAGGAAGAGACCCACCACGATCAGCGCCTTAGAAATGAAAGTATTCCTGTCATGGTTGCTTTGCTCTGATAGCACTCCTGTGAGATAACGAAGGGCAGGGTCTATTTGTGTTTTACAGGAACACAGGGAAACTCAAGGCTAGAGGGATGTAGCTGACTTGCCCAAGGTCACAAAATTCCCAAAGGTAGGAGAGAAACCCAAGTCATCAGATGTCCATGGTGTTTTCCCCCAGACCCTGTAACTAGAATGAGGAGAAGCCACAGATGGGATTGGAGGCGCCAAGGCAGGGGAGTGACTAGGATCTCCTGGACAATACAGTGATGGCAGGAATGATTCTCATTTCCTCCTCCTTCCCCTGAAGGTTCTGGGTAACCTCTAAGTAGGGCACCAAGGAAATTTAATCATTTCTTCTAGTCCCACCCAGAGAACTTGAGGGTAGTGGGGACTGGTATACCTATTGTCATTGATATCTGTGGCATTTCCTGAGGTGATCATCATTGAGAACATAGGATTAGAAGAAGAAAAAAGGAGATTCAGTATTAGAAACAGTCTCCCCAAACCCTCTCCCATCCTAATCACTTAGAGAAAAAGGTAAACTGTGGTACTCTATCCTCGCCTACCCTAGGTTACATCATTATTTTATCTGCAAAAAATTCTCACTGGGAGAGAAGAAGGGGACAGGAAGGTAAGGGTGGGGATAGGTACAGTGACAGGAGGAATCCACTTCTAAGAGGGATGAGCAGTGTTCAAGCTGCAGGTACAATAGTGGGCCACCTTTTTTTTTTGGCACGTGTATCTTTATTTGAAGCCTGGGTACACTAGAAAGGTTCAGTTAGTGTTTGTTGTAGACTAAAGTGACTTACTTTTCTTATAACCTATCAACTTTCCCTGAGGATACCAAAGGATGGATTACCTGTCCTTTTTACTCACCATTGTCCATGCTGACCTTCTGGTAGGAAGCCAAGGGGCCACCAGAAGATGTGGCTCCACTGGTGGTACAGGAGTTTCCAAAGCTGGATGGAGCAGGGAAGAGAGATGCAGCCTCTGGCACCCACCCTCCACTATTCTGCAGACCCCTAATCCGCACTCACCCTCAGAGGTAGAGCCACACATCCCTCCCCAACCCTAGAGAACAGAGGATAGCAAACATGGCCACAGGCTGGGAGGGTAGACACCCACCTTCTAATCACTGGTATGAAGCTCAGAAATGGTTAGAAATGAAGCTACTTGGGAAAATAATTGAGTCTCAACCAATAATTGACCCAACCCTATGCCTTCTCGGGTTCAGAGAGCCTTGGGTTGGGACTCCAGCCCACATCCATAGTCACTCACTACATATCTGAGGTGGAGCTGGGTGTGGCCTGCAGGTACAAATTCTGGTAGTTCTGGAAGAGGCTGTTGGTATAACTGATGCACTCAGGGCTCCGGGTGCCATAGGGGTTGGTGGGTGAAGAGGCTGGGTAGTGGCCAGGCCGGACAGGTTTGGCTGTGGTAAAGAAAGCAAATGACCATGAGAAAGATATCTGTTACCTTGCAGTTGCCCTGGTTCCTGAGATTATTCAGTTGGGGTTGACCTGAGTTGTTTGTAAGACAATTTATTGCATTTTTACTTTATTTGGTGGCTGGGGTGGGGGGGGTGTGTGTGAAGCTGTGTGTGGTTAAGAAGTAATAATCTATTTGCTTAGCACTTAGGAGTTTGCTGAATTTGCTCCAGGTGGTAATCGCACCTTGCCAACTGAAAGCCACTCACCAATCTGGGCAGAATGGCCCCGCTTGCCCGAGCTCTTGTACCGAACGGCCTCCTTGATGCGGTCCACCTCCTGCTGGTACCGGCGCTTGTCCTTCATGGCGCCCTCCTTGGCCTCCTTCAGTGCACCCTCCAGGGCCTTAACTCTCTCAGCCGTAGCCCTAAGTCGTTTTTCCAATTTAGGAAGCTCACAACGCAGATCTGCATTGTCACGTACCAACTGTGGGATAAGCCAAAGGGAAGAGGCCAAAAGGCAGGCAACCCAAGACAGTCACCGGTGGAGCATGGGGGTGAGGGTGGGGAGAGAGAACAAAGGAAAATCAAGAGTCAGAAGACAGAGACCACATTGTTTCCTTGAAAGGCATCGTTCCCTTGAGGTAATGTGCTGTTTTGTCCAGTTCTTTCCTCTTCCCTGAGCAAAGGGTGGTCAGGCATTAAAAAGTTACATCATTTTCTAGGCAGCAAAACCTGCCATCTCCACTGTAACCCAGAACTCCTGAGTCAGCGCCCTGTGGCTGGACACTCCCCTCCCACTGCTATCTCACAGCATGTGCCGGACCAACAGCCTCAGGGCAACCATGGGATGAGGCCCCATACCCAGAGATGGTTCTGTGGGCATGCAAGGGGTGGGGCGGCAAGAGCACAGTAGCAGTCTAGAGGGTGGATATGGTATGGAGGAGAATGAGTGCAGGTTAGGTGCAGTGCAAACAGGAGCAGAAGCTGGATTCAGGAGCCCCCCACATACGTACACAGACACACGGCGCCCCATAGGGAGGAAAGAAAATGTTTGAGGTCTCACAAACATTTGTGCCCATTACCTTCACATTGAAGGACTTCCTGGGCTAGCCCTCCCCCATTTAAATTAAGCTAGCAACCACCTTGCAGACAAAAAAGATTGCCTGATCTTTTTACAGGGTTCCACATAGCAACAGGGGGTGGGGGGTCTACAGATGGCAAAAGGAGCAGGGCCTTGGAAGCTATTGGGTAAAGTGGCGGAGCTAGAAACCCTTCTGTGCAGCTTTAATGCGGACAATTTACAGACAATAAACAATGTGTTGCTGTGACAATAGTTTAGCTTAATTGATAATAGGGCTCTTAGCAGAAGTTTATGTATCTCTCCTTTTCCTTTCTAGTCTTGCGTCTGCTGAGGTAGGAAATTGTGGTGAGTCCTCTATTTTTCCTGTAAGTGAGTAGTTTTTCGTCTTTGGACTTAGCAGAGGCAGAGATTTCAATAGGGGGAAAGGAAACAGCCTATGTTTTTTGGTTTTTTTAAAAAATGACCACTAAGGGGATCTTAACCCTTGGCTTGGTGTTGTCAGCACCATGCTCAGCCAGTGAGCGAACCGGCCATCCCTATATGGGATCTGAACCTGGGGCCTTGTGTTATCAGCACCGCACTCTCCCAAGTGAGCCATGGGCTGGCCCTTTTTTTATTTTTTAAAAGCAATATAATATTCATTTGGACAGAGAGGGAAAGGGAACACACAGGAATGAAAATAGAATGGTAGAATTGATTGCAAATGTTTCCAAGTTGTCTTTCAACATTTCCGTAATGTTGTTACACTGTTTTATGATACCAAAGGGAAAAAAAGATGGTAGTAAAGCCCTCTACTAGCCCAAATAAAATAAGTAAGCCCTGTGGGCCACAGGTTGGCTTCCCCCCCCCCCCCCTTACGAAAAAAAAAAAGGAACCCCTTGGGGCCCCGGGTTGGCCCCCCCCCCCCCCCATTACGAAAAGAAAAGATGTACTGA